ATTTATGTTTCTTTATTATATTTAGTTTAAGCGTTTTTTTTTTTTAGTTTTTTTCTTTAAGCTTCAAAAACATTTAGAAGAGACATCAAAACGATTTGCAACACAAACATTGAATTAATTTTTTTTATTTAGTTTTTTTCTTTTCTTTTTTTGTTTAGTTTTTGCTTTGATTTTGTTTAAAATTGTTTTCATTTATTTAAATTTAGTTCTTTTTATTTAGTTTTCTAAGTATTTAATGTTTAACAATGGATTTTATTTTATTTGTTTATGTTTTTTGTTGTAAATATATGTATGTATATATATATGTATATATCAATATAATATACACATATGTATATATTGATAACCCAGATCAAGCGGAAATGAAAATCAAAGTCAAGTTTGATATACTCGCTCCTCGAATTCGCAGTCTGTCAATAAGCACGGTTAACTTAAGATTGAGTACTTAGTAGTGTTAAAAATGCAAGTGCAAGTCCAAGCAGTGTTGACCAGTGCTGTTGACTGTTGAGCAGTGTTGGTAGATGAGAAAGGTTAGCAAATCATAGAGAAAAATTCTGGACTATCCCAAGAATATTATTGAAGTAGCATTAAATTAGCTGATTCAGTAGCCAATGGGACCCCAAATCATAAATCTAAAAAGTATTGAACAATAGGGCAAAATGAAATTTAAGAAAAAGCTCTAGGGAAATGCCCTTTAATGTTAAGATTCCTCTTAAAGTTCTGGTTTTTTATCCACAAAAAAAGGGAAAAAGTATATATATTTGTATATACACATATATGTATGCATGTATATCAATAAATGTATGTATATGTACGTGTATATGCAATAACATTCATATCGTAATCATAATAATTAAGTAAATACATATATTTATATATAAATATGTTTAGTGTGTATATGATTAGCAATGCGTACGTCTTCAATTCATTCCGTTTCAATTTCAATTCATTTTAAATTCAAATTTCAATTGCAATTTGAAGCTTACGTTGAAACTCAAATTCAATTTTTGTTTCAATTCAATATTGTTCAATTTCCGTTCAGTTTCAATTTCAGCTTCACTTTCAACCATAATTTCAATTCAATTGAACTTTAATTTGAATATAAATTTCATTTTCAAGTTTGTCCAATTCGAGTTTCAGCTTCAATTTCAATGGAATTTTCATTTTAAATATTATGTTTCAATTTATGTTAGAGTTCATTTTCAATTTCAATTACAACTTTAATTTGCTTTTTTCAATTTGGCACTGCAAGTTTCCGCAGTTCGATTTCCAGCTCGACTTTCAATGGAATTTTCATTTTAAATATTATGTTTCAATTTATGTTAGAGTTCATTTTCAATTTCAATTACAACTTTAATTTGCTTTTTTCAATTT